AGCCACTATTCATGATATCCATAATCGGGACTTAAAAGGCACAAGTTGGCCCAACACTAGTCCAAAACTGATAATGTGCCAATTTTCTACTTACTTTATTTAATAAACAAATTATAAAAAACGCAACCAGTCTTGTCCAAGTTTATTTCGAAGAAATCGAACTGATGTGGACTAGTCCAAAATATCGCTTCCAATCCAGAATAAAAAAAACGTTGTATCAATTAAATTCTTCAGGAATCCAAGTCTGATGCGGACAATATCTTGCAATAGAGAACCTAGGTGGAAAGGGAGCAAGTGTCCTCGCTTCTCGTCCCGAAAAAATTAGCACTACTCCTGTTATAAACTCTTTCTCCCTCTTCAAATTCGATTGAATAATATTTCATTTTATATGGAAAAAGAAAAATGAATTACCATTGAACTCTCATGCCCAAGTTATTACCATTGATCTCGATTGTTTCTAAATACAATAATTTGAAATGCTATTGTTTATATATAATCCATGGCTAATACTGAAGATAAAGTTATTTATACATAACTATCATCATAAAATGAAGTCCCCGTTTCATTTTATTGCACATAGTTGAAGTTAGAGTTAATTTTTATTAAGAATTATTAAAGTAGTATAAATAATTGAGATGTGCATATTTAAAAACTATTGGAAAATACTAAATAGTATTGATTCACAAAGTTTAATCATATTAAACCGCAATACTTAACACATAGAAGTTTTGGAATTGATTAATCACAAATTGTCAGACTTATGCAGTGCCTTCATCCCAAGTACCTCGAGATAAAGTGACTTTTAACAAAGATTTTGTCATAATTTGGCACGGATCCGCGGATACTCGTGAAATTTGTGCCAAAAATAAATAAATGATTTTAAAAGTTGTTTTGTAACGAAAAAGATAGCACAGGGTTGTGATAAAATTGTGCCAATGCATTATGCATCACAAATCTGTTTCAACCCATTTTTATTTGTATTAGAATATGATAAATTTTACATATATATAACGATATACGGATTACTAAAGTTGAGTCGTGTAAAGTTGAGTCGTGTTAAAGGTAGGAATAGTGGGGTGCATGGGTTAATCTCCATTTCATTAGAATAATAGTAACACGTACTACATTTCAAATTATTAGTACTAAAATTTAGTGTATGACTTGTAGTGTTGGACATGATCCTAACCGTCACTCAAGACTCGAGCTATTAATCTTTATGATCGAGTAGATAACCGGAATCTTAAAAAATTATAAACACCAATGATGGTAAGGGTGCATAAGGGATGGAAAAAATGTTGGTGTAATAAGAAGCAATAAAAGGTTGTTTAGTATGCATCATAACTTGTACGTTTCAATTGTTTGGCTATTCTAACCCTCTTCTTCCGTTTGTATTAATTGATCTCCGTTAAGTTAAACAGAACTCCCCAAATACGTTTCCTTGGTGACTCTTTAGTGAGTTCAATTCAAATTTAACATTTATTTTGGTTATTAATAAAAAATCTTTTACCTCTTTCCAATAAATAGAAAATTCCATTGGAATTAGGCTGCAGGTCTCATACTCTCATCTCCAAACATATACAGTGCTTATAAATTTTTAAGATATGTAAGATATATTTGACATGAAATGATATTTTTAAAACTTAATAATTGTTAGCTTTTAATGATTAAAAAGATTTTAAAAGAAAGAATGGTTAAGTATTTGATAAAAAGTTTGTTTGATTTAGTTATATTTCTTATACAAGTAGTTATGATTAATTAATGTTAAAAGTTATAGACTTTTCTCAAATGTTATTCAGTGTAGCTTTTCAAAATAAAACTTTTGTTTAGATTAAAACTCTTAAAAATTATCCTGCCAAATATACGAGTACAAAATTTTTAGATCTTTTTAAATAGTAGAAAAGGCTAGAAGGTATAACTTATTCCGGCTAAACATGCTCGTAGTATATATTAAGATTTTGATTGATAATGGCTTTTGCACTATTCCCGTAAAATAGAGATTATTTTTTAGGCTATTAGGGAATTTTTACTTGAATTGTAATTTTCTGACCTTGTTAGTTTTGATCCGGTATGATCGGCTCTATTTAAGTCTGGTCTGGTTTGATAAATTCTCATGCATGGCCTATGTGTATTTTATAACGATCGAAGCCCGGTCTGATCTGATCGGTTTAAGTCTGGACTACTCTGCTTAAATCCGATATGGTTTGTTTTGGTTTGGTCGGGGACTGCAATCGGTCCCAATAAAAACATCGTTATTTATCAAAATGTTCATCATACATCGTCTATACAGTGTTTGGTAGATCTTTTTTACTTTTCTTGGGCCGCAAATGTTCAGTGTTTTTTTATATACGGAGTATGACTCCTACTCCAATATATAAGTTGGTTTTATAGTAATCACAAGAACAGCAATATAGAAATGATACATAGGAATGACAATTATATTTGTGGTCATCAACACTTAAATGAACTTCTAACAACTACAAGAAATGTCTAACATAATAGTATGTTGGGTGAAGGTCGATTTGGTTCTGTGCTTCTCACTTCAAGCAAACTAGACCTAAATCAGATTTGGTAGTTATTGTGGAGATGTTTATAAAAGAATAATTTCAATTTCACGGCGTTGCTGATCATAAGGGATTAATGTATACGTGAATATCCATACATCACCCTAAAAAGAGCGTCCAATTCTGCTTGTACCATGTGTTTAATAGAAGATAATAACTACCATTTTAAAAGAGCGCCCAATCCTTACATCCACTCTCCTTATCACACAAGTTATAATCAAACTTCACTTCTTAGAAACATTGTCATTCTAATATGCATATCATATCGTTTGAAAGAGTGGATGTTCTTCTTAAATTCACACTTGTATTGTGAATGGTATTGGGCACTGTCCCTCACGCGCAACGCGCGTCAAAAAACTAGTTCTTATACAAAATCAGAAATGATACGATTTAAGAATGACACCACATGAATTGAACCTCATTTTGAGACAATTGTAAAATTTCAAAGAAGTACAAATAAAATTTATTCAACACCTTGTATGATCGAATATGGACCACATGGTCCTAGTTTCAGATAGTAATTTGGATAGTTAATTAGTCTTTCTTGGTGGATGATAGTTAGTTTTTTATGATATAAAAGATAATTGGAACTCCGATATAAATTTAGGAACAATGTAAAAGTGATATTCACGATCCTAGTTTTTTGCTGGACTTTCTAGTTTCCCATACAGGCCCGGTCTTGACATTTTATGGGCCCGAGATAATACAAATACACTGGGCCTCAAGGATAGCGGGGGGATGTTTATAATGTTCTTTTTGCTATAATAATCTATAATTTAAAATTATACAATTTTACCGTCCAGATGTAGTATAACACATCAAAAAAACTAACAAAGCACATGGTTAGAAAATATATATAGGGTATTTGATAAGTGACATTTGAGGATACAATGTACCTATGAGCCGAGCGAAATAAGTAGTGCAACTATTAGGTGCAATAAAAAATTTAAATTAAAAAAATCTGTGAAATTATATCTTGTATAATTAGAAGTAACTTTTTTATATTTTAGATCACATTTTCACTAGACAAAAACAAATTCTACGTTTCTAAATTATGGACACTAAAGGTCAATCTTTCACTAAATGAGAGAATCGGGGGAAATTTGTGAAATATATCAATAAGTTCTGGATATACATAAGACATGTACACTAAAAGAATAAAATTAATGCAATAATCCGTAATATAATGATTCAAAAGAAATGGTGAAATATGTTCTCAATGAATTCTAATGTGGATGTTTCGAAATTATAGACTTGTATCGTGTAGATGCTGAATAACTAATTAGAAGTATCTAAACATTATAAGTTTGATTTTATATTTTACCTTTTATAGATTTAGGATGTACATATAATTAAAATAGTGATGTTCACAAACACACACCTACACACAAATATTTGAGAATTTTATGGGCCCTACTGGAGCAAAGGGCCCTGGGCGCATGCCCCTCGATCCTGCCCATGCCCCAGGACCGGCCCTGTTCTCATAGTATCTATTCAATGTAAATGTCAACTTCCTTGATTGGGATGAATTCCGAACTTGTGACCCTCTTCTTGAGTGTGTCACAATGATATCATCGAATTATCGAACCATAAAGTGCTTGACTATTAATGATTCTAGTTAGCTACATAGTTTGTACACAGTGTGTTACTTGCTAATTCTAGTCCTAGACTCCTAGTTATGTTTTCTTCTAAAAAGTTGAATGTTCTTGTTTAAAAAAATTCAAATAAACTGTACCAAATCTAGAATCAGAAAATATAAGCACTTGAACTAATAAGTAGTAAGATTAGAATCAGGAGAACTCTTCTTGTCAGGCCGGCCTGACGGGAACCTCCGTCCGGCCGAGCCCGTTTGGGCACCTTCCCAGTGGAATTTTTTGATGAAATTTTTTGAGCATGTTCTTCATCAAGTCTAGTTTATCCATACCAAATTTCAGCTAAAAATTCAATCGGGAAGACATTCAAATCATTTTTTGAAGTTGACTGCGTCAAAATATACATATAAAAACGCAGTCAACTTCAAAAAATGATTTGAATGCCTTTCCGATTGAATTTTGAGCTGAAATTTGGTATGGACAAACTAGACTTTATGAGGAACGTGCTCAAAAAAATTTATCAAAAAATACCACCGGGAAGGTCGCCAAAAGGGCTCGGCCGGACAACTCTACCGGTCAGGCCGGCCTGACATGATGATTTCTCTCTAGAATCAGATTCCACTCGATCCAGATTCATCGCCTCCCCTGGAAACATGTTATGGGTCCACCGTTGGTCTGATGTGGTCCAAAAATATGAGCGTTTCAAAGGCCCATAGGAGACTGTGGGACAATGTATCACGTACAACAGCCCATGCTGTGTTTGGACCACGTCATAGGGTCCAATCCCCTTAATGGAAATGGTCATGATCCAACTAAAGTGGTTACGTCTGTTTTGAAGGGCGCGAATGACGAATCTAGTGTTGCACAAATAGCATATCATGAGAGCAAATACGTCCCCTGTAATACTAATACTGATAACCCAACAAACATTGCTAGTACTCTAGTAGCTGCTTTTCTTGCCCCCAACAAACAGAATAGAGAAAAAAATGGTGTAACAAAAAAGAGTATAGAGTCGGCTAAGGCTAGTAAACAATTTTTAAAATTCACATGCTCGCTTTCTTGTGCCAATAAATAAAGTACTCTACATGAATCCACCCTTTCCCCTGAGGGATGAAGAACAGGGGAACAACAATAAGTTTATGCCTGTAACTGTTCACGCTCGTTTATCAATTGCGAATTGAAATCATCAGGTATTAGAGCAGCAACCTCCTTTTGCATTTGGAGAAGAATTGCCCACATTGATGGTTGTGCCCTTACCAGGAAGGGCACCATTTCCTATAGCTTCCTGTGCAGCCAATGCCTTCTTGCTCACTATATGATATATTTCGGTCAAAACACTCTGAAAAGCCTTTTCCACGTTAAGCGCCTCCAATGCCGATGTCTCCAGATATGACAACCCTTCCTTCTCAGCAAGAGCTTGGCCGTCGGCGTCTGACACTGCCCTAAGATGGTTAAGGTCTGACTTGTTCCCCACCATCATGATGACAATGTTAGAGTCAGCGTGGTCTCTCAGTTCTCGGAGCCACCTTTGGACATTGTCGAAGGTTTGTCTCTTTGTTATGTCATATACAAGAAGTGCCCCAACGGCTCCTCTGTAGTAAGCACTTGTAATTGCTCTGTACCTTTCCTGGCCTGCAGTGTCCCAAATTTGGGCCTTCACAGTCTTTCCTTCCACCTGTTAAACACGAATAGGTGCCTCAGGCTATGTTTGGATCCAGAAAATATTCTAAGGAAAAGGAAATTTGCAAAAGAAAGTTTTTTTCTTGTGTTTTGTGTTGCGGCTGAAAATGAAATGTAATTCATACATTTGAAACCTTAATGTATCCGTACTTTAATCATAAGTGTGTTCTCATTTAAGCACTTCAATATGTTTTTTGCTCTTAAGGCATTTTTCTTTATTTCTTCCAAAAGCATCTTTTTAAAGTAAAGATACTTTCTTCCTGAAAGTACCTATTTTCTGAAAATAAGCCATACTAAATGCTCTCTTAGTCATTACATAATACGGAGTAGAAATTAGAAAATGAGCTGGAAAACATAAAAAATAAACTTAGCAAGTTTGATTCAAAGTTTTATTTCCTCCCACATTTTCATTCCCTAAAACTTAATCCTATACTTTCCTTCTCATTTCTTTACTTAGCATTTCCTAGTAAAGAATGGATCCTCGGTGTATCCTAATGAGTAATGACCCAGATAGTCCTCCAGCAAAGATCATATTATTGTCGTAAATGAACACTCAACCAAAAACTACCAGTATTTCATGCACCCTGTGTTCTTTGCGTTTTTAAAATATCCACTTAAAACATGAGTTTTAAACAATTGAGAAGTAACTTTGACAAAACCCGGAATCTAATATGTGAGCTACACGTTTTATTTCACCTTTAGAATTCGTCTTTTAAAAATATGCAACCAAATGCTAGTTAAAGGTAATCATAGTTTTCAAAGATAAAAAAGGTTACTAAGAAAAGCATCCCATGTTCTTGTGTGCAGTAACTTCTAAGCACGTTGATGAAAAACAAGCTTATCAATGTAAAATGAGAAACAGGGGACTCCATCAACAGATGGATAGATCTGCAAAGTGATCAAAGAAGTACTATAAAGTTGTTTAATCCACATACTTTTAGAAAAGATGAGGATTTCAAGATGTTTTATAAAGATGTATCACTTAAAAAGCAACCTTTTACTCTTCCCCTCGTGAGGGTCCGAGGATGGGTCCCACCACAAGGGGGCAAGTCTGTCCTTGTCATTTTGACAATAGGGTGCTCCCAAGACTTGAACCCATAACATCTCGGTCACATAATGACATCTTAAGCGGTGCACCAATACTCCCCTTCTTACTCTTCTAATTTCTAAACCAGAACAACAACCAAACCTTAATTTCAAAAGTATTTGGAATCGGCTAACATGAATCAACATAAGATATCGGAGTTAAGAAATAGAGAAAAGGGAAGACAAACAAAATCAAATCAATCCTCCACACAAATACTCTCCCTCCACTTCACTCTCTCCAAAGTCAAACTCAAATGAGGAAAATTAAAAAACATAGAAGTACAAGAACATTATCTTGTCCATCAGGAAAACCATTCATCCTAGTATATTGAATCTATTCCTTCAAATGAGCATTGACTAGACATAGAGAAAAAAATGTAGCCAGCATTCTGTAGATGTACTACACAAGTTATGATATGAACACTATGATCAGCAGCAAAAACATAAATTCCCAAACTAATTTGCACATGTCTCCCTTCCTAATTTTACTCTCTGTTCACGTGTTCATGAAATCATAAACGATGTATCCAAAGCTCAGATAACAGTACAAAACCAGTTCACACAACAAAAGGAAGGAATTATAAATGATAGAGATGGAGAATCATACCTGAAGTGTTCGGGTGGCAAACTCCACTCCGATAGTAGATTTGGATTCCAAGCAGAACTCATTCCTGGTAAACCTGGACAGGATGTTGGATTTTCCAACTCCAGAATCTCCGATCAACACGATCTTAAACAGGTAATCATATTCGTGGTCCACTCTCTTTGCCATCCCAAACTATCGCTCCGCAGAATCTCTTCTCCTCGACCTCCTTCCTATACACAGACAAAAAAGCATCAATGAGAAAAGGACCGATCTACTCAGGGCCGATCACTACCATACAACCGAAAATTGTTCAAAAAAGTCGATACGAAAGCTGTGTATGAAAACGCTTACCGGGAAGCAGAGATCGAATGCCCTGTGCACTGGAATTAGGGGAGAGATGGAGAAGAAGAAGTTTTTGAAACGGCCAATTGCGGACGGTGGATCCAGATAAGCCAGTGCGTAACAGCGCAATAGATTGCTAAAATATTGCTTAAGAAATTCTGTATAGGGTCATTGTTTTTTGTTTTTTCTTTCATTAGTGGATTTTTGTTTTAAGGCATACTCCTTCTCATTCAAAAACAAGTTCCAGTTCGATTTACGATGCTTGACTGACGATAGAACATTTCAATCCTTGTTCACATTCGGATTATTTTTAATAAATAAAATTTACATATTAAGAAACTACATTAAAACTGCTACAAAACCTGATCAAGAAAATTTCAATTTAATAAAAATTTGAAATATATAATAAAAGATTAGGAGTGACTTAAGTTGACCAATGAATAACGAAGTAGAACTTGTTTTTGAATCCTAGCTGTGAATTAATTTGATTAGATTCATTTCTTCTTTGGTAGAGTACATTCTAATTTAGCTTTTCATGATAATTTTTTTATTTAACTTTTCATCGAATATGCACAAAAATGTATCAAAAAAGAGAAAACTACCAAATAATGTGTTGGGGTATATAAAAAAAAATTGTTCATCGAACCAAAATCATTAAGCCCGGGAGAATTTATAAAAATGTTCAAATTTCTAATTTAGCATGTCACAATCTGATTAGTTGGTTACTTAACACGTGTGGCTATTCACATGACTATTTTTAATTTTCTAATTTTTGTCGATTTAACAAACGATATACTCAAATGTTAGTAATGGATCTTGATGTCTTAAGTTCGTAGAGATGAATCTGAACTCATATATTTCTTTGGTTCTTGAGAAATTAATTGAAGCACGACAAGGAAATAGTCTAGGACTAAAGCAGTGTTTGCGGTTGCTTAAAAAAAGCGCTTTTCAGCTTTTGGTTTAAAAAAAGCTAAAAAGAGTGTTTTCAAATGACAGCTTCTGCTTAAATTAATCACTTAAAAGCTAAAAGCCGGAAGCAGGTGGAAGGGTGCTTTAAACTGCTTTTCACTTTTTCTATTACACAAAAAATACTTATTTTACCAAACATTACCAACTTTTACTTTTTCTGAATCACTTTTTTCTCAAACACTACCAACTTTTACTATTAATCACTTTTTCCAAAATCACTTTAAAAAATCACTTTTTTAAAGTTGAAGCAATGACAAACACTCCCTAAGACCTTTTCCTATATAGATATACTAATATACCAATATACTACTCCCTCCGTCCCGCTATGATTGTCCCATTTTACCATTTCGGTCCGTCCCACTAAGATTGTCTCATACCTTATTTGGTAAAGTTTGTGTGGTTCTAAATCATTCCTACTTTAATTTATTCTTACTTTATCAATTCAATATCAACCACATAAACCCACCTTTATTAATAACTGTGTCACCTTCTCTTGTACCAAACATAGGGGGACGGGGGTAGTACATGACTGAGCAAGATAAAAAATTGTAAGCATCTCATACTTGAAAACGTCATGATGCAAAGTCATTTTCGAAAACCAAACATGGAATTAGATTTGTTGTCCTCCATATGCATGTGATCTCTGCTAGAGCTGGATGACCCATTCACCAGCCATTTATTTCCTCCTGTTGGACTAGTCTTCACCCCGCTACCTACTCTAAGATGGACCCCAAATGTTTTCTCCAGGACCAGGTCCTCTTCATAAGTCAGAGGGCAGAATTTATCTGAGTGCCCTATCATATCGCAAACAAAACAGAAATTGGGTAACTTTTCATACTTAAAGCCCACCCAATGACTCACTCCTCCTTTCTTCAGATTTGTACCCTTTTTCAAAGGCTTCTCCACATTCATACATACCCTGACTCTCATATAAGATTCACATTTCTCACTAAAATTCATCATCATATCTGATAAATTTTTCAATAAAATTGCCAACCCGCCTAGCAGTGCCTAAATTCACTAAACTGTAAGGAACATTATGAACTTGTACCCAGAACTCAGCCTCATTTAAACAAATTTTATGTGGTATATCATCAGGCTTCACTTCTTTCAAAATCAGAAAATTATGCTCAAATTGCCATGGACCACCTCTAGAACACCTTTCATATCATCAGGATGGTAAAAAGTAAAGAGGTACCTCCTATTACCTACTTCTTGTAACACCGTCTCCAATTGTATTTACTTTGAAGTAAATAATGTATTGAACCTTATGGAATGGTTAATGAATTTACAAAGTTGTAAATTTTTATTCTTTCTTTTGCGTGAATAGTAAAATGTACGTGGGACCCGCACTGGGAGCGGGGGCCACCCGATAATCCCGAAACTATATATTTTATTCATACTAGCCTAGATAATAATTATATAGTGGTGGATATATTTTTATTTGGACCATAGGAAGGGTCAGGGTTGACAGATTGGTCAAAAGCGGCCCTATTACCAGTACCAACAATTTACGAGATAATAGCCCGAAAATTAAGGGTTCTAAATTAAAGTTGTGGAATATATATTTATTCGAAAGACCATTTTGATTGAGGGTAAGTAATATATTTCATTTGACCCGATAAAATAAAATAAATTTAAAACAGTCCGAACATTACAATTTTCAGGGCCGAATGTACCATTAGGGACAAATTGGGATGACCTCCCACATGAGTGGGGCCACCCCACGTTTTTGTGTGATGAAGTTAATAAAGGGGGGCTGCTAAGACAAAGGAAGGTGGGAGGAAGGTCAACCCTGAGGTGGAATGAGACTCTTTCTCCACATAATTGGTGAGATGAGCCAAAAAGACCATTCTATCCCTCACCCACCACATAATTTCGGCCAAGGCATCAAAGAGGAGAAAGAGAGAGCCCTCAAACCCACCTCTATTGTTGCAGCACGAGATCAAGAAGAAGTAGTCCATAGAAGGAGCTTTAAGAAGGAAAAAGTTAGGAAAAAGTGAACAGAATTAAGGTAATGACCTTATATTAACTTTTCCTTTATTTTTCTTCTACCATATGAAATATATATCATATGAAAAACCCTTAGGGTTGTTCCACATGTTATAAGTATGGAATGATGGGTTGGAAGATAGCTTTGAGTCCAAGAATGGACTTAGAAATCAAAATGACCGGTTCGCCGGAAAATAACCTTCTAGAGGTTATTTGTTTTAATATGGGTTTTATGATTATAAAACCTTGTTACGAACTTGTATAAGGTATTTCAAGAGCTTTCACGGAATTGAAAGAGTCGCCGGAGTTCGTCAAAAGTCGCCGGAGTTTCGCCGGAGTTCAACCAAGAGGGGTAGAACTTCATAGTGTTAATTCGAGGTGAGGATGACTGACTATATTGCTTATAATTAGTGAGTTAATTTCATGAGATCACCTAAGGTAATTAAATATGTTTTTATGGATTATTAATGATTAATAATGCCCAAAAATGAGAAGACCATTGTCTACAAAGAAAATGAGCATAATATACAAATTTAAGAATAAATTGTGTATGATTATGTGTTATGAGTATGTTGACTTGAGAATGGAATTAACTATGAACTTTATGTTGAAATATACTTTTTACTTCATATAAGAATATATGAGTGATTAAAAGTCATATTTTGTATATTGATATGAACTATATTTTCAATGGAAAAATTAGTTTGGAAATTATCTACATGACTATGACTTGAGAATTCGGTTGATAGAATTTATCCGACTAGTACTAAAATACTAGTCGGGGTATTGGAATGAGAATATGTTTGAATTGATCCAAAGGTTGGATTGTGAAATGTTGAACCTTAAGTAGTCTTAAGAGATACTAAGGTGGATAAGTATGAACTTTAAGTGATACTAGGGGTAGGCCTTAAGGGATACCCAATATAAAGTGGATAATAAATTGATCCTAGATATAGGATTGGCCTACGGGTGTATCCCGTAGTCAATGAGGATAGTCGGTTGGATATTGGTAAATAGTAAGGACCATGGCCCTTCCCGTGTCACGCCCCGGACCTATCCGGACACGTCAACAACCCGCCGTACAATACGAATAGTCAACCGCAGTCCAACACATTCATATTATACAAGGCGTCTTGAATATCATTCACACATATACATCCATAAACAAACATAATAAGTAATTCATAACGCAGCGGAAAACATTGTTTAAAACAAAAGGCCACACCGGGCTATTCATGAGCACGCAGGCTCTATAGTAAAATATCCATGAGCATGTTTATTAATGTTTAAAAACCGAATGGAGGAAGCACGAACCAAGTCTTCCCTCCTAGATGATCACTCGAGCAACGAGCACAGGAAGCAAGCTCTAGCCTCAACCTGAAAAATGGTAGTGGGACGCCCCCGAAGGGGTCAGCACTCTATAGGGCTATAAAGTGCTGGTGTGGATGGCATCTAATAGATATACAACAAGTATTTCAAACACAAGACCCTCAAATAGGGTGATAATATAATCTAGGCCGTAACCCCAAGTTACCCCTTTTCAAAAATATACTTACTTTATATATAAAGTCAAGTAGTCGGCCCGTAGGCCCAAGGTTTGTTTATCAAACATATCCCAAAACCCCGTGACCCCTAGTCACAACAATATATAGGGTCCAACCCTAACACATATATTTGCATTCTCGAGTCCAACTCGACTACATCACCATGCACCTTATTTAACACAAGTTAACTACTCCACCGTGCATTTCTTGAGTCCAACTCAACTACATCACCATGCACAACAATCACCCCATCATGTCTACCCAATGCAATTCTATGAGCACGGCTCAAGTACATCTCCTTACATTGGCATAGACCCCAATTCCTAAGCACTCACTATGCCTAGAATTGTAATATCAATAATCTATTTTGGGACATCCCTACGGACTGCCCAACCATGGTCATAGCATCACATTACATCAACTTAGTCACTTGCATCACAATCAAGTTCATCAATTACAATCAAATCCATAGATTCAATTCCTTAACAATTACAACAATCATTAACTAGTATTTCAATACTATTAAGATTATTCTTATCCATCATATATTCCATTTGTAAAACCCTACATATTTAGAGATATGTAGCAGCAACTTAATCATTCAATGTAATACATAAATAATCATTTATGTATCTACACAATTCACACATGAGTAAAATGACCATTTCGCACAATAGTTCATTTAACTCCA